TAGCTGGCGCAAGACCATCTATGAATTGCCAGAGAGAAGATTTGTTTTCACTTCATCTTCTTTTTAGAAAAGTAGTAATAATTTGTAAAATGAGAATTTCACTCATCTTTAATTTTTGCTGGTAAGTGATTGTCAGCCAAATAAACAACATATTAATAAAAAACGATGTTGTTTTGTTCTAACCAAGACTGATGTAACATCCACGATACAGAATAGAGAATACCATATTATTTGATTATTTGAGATGAAATGAGGTGATCAATGATAACAAAGTATAATCATGGCTGATTCTGTAAACAAGAGAGGTCAACACAAATATGTTCTTGTTCATTAGACAAACACGTTGTTTACACTGAGATTGAGGAAGAAGTAATCAATATTACTTTGAATATGTTATTGGATAATACAGAAATGCGATGGATCATACAGAATTCTCAGTACTTTTTCAAATATTATTCTCCAATGCATACGATTTACAGGTCTATGGCGTTTGTATAAATCAGTGATACCTTCGTACTTGAAGACTGTCGGATTTCGAATTCCGAATACAATACGTAGTCTGTCCTCATCTAGTTGTCACGCAATATAACTCAATCTTCATCAGGAAAGATGGCTGGTGACTATCAATGAAATCCATGACATGACGTGCTTTTCTCCCTATTTGTGACTCGTCAGCTGGATATTCCCGCATCCCAGAATTGAAGTTCTCTCCGTGACTCGAACCAAGAATCGTTCGTTTCAAGCGATATCGTGTTACCCACTTAGTTTGATTTATGTCTTGAATAATCGAAATCTACACAGATTGAATACTGTGATATTTTGCTATTCACTCATCATTTAAAAGTCTGGTTCATTCAACAATATGTTGAATGATAGTTCAGTTCCTGGAAAATTGTATCATTGAAAGAGTATTGGTGTTATGCAGCCAATGTGCTTTAGAAGAGTAATTTTCCACCAAAGTCACAATATTCTATAAGTTCTCTCATTCCAATAATTCTAAACTGAAATTAATCTGGTTCTAATTGCCTGCAGACTTCAATATTGTAGAGATTCACGAATCGATCTGGAACATTTCTTAATAGGTTCATGGTGGCATTTAGGATTAGGTTGCTTTCAAAAATGGCGATTCGATCTACCACAAAGTAACACATATTTTGTTATAAAGTAATGATGAACATGAAGTCCGGCTTCAGTCACTTCTACTGGACATCGACTACAATTAATCATCTTTTTGCTAAGTTATGAATGAACAAGATGTAAGATGGTTGAATGAAATGGGCAGGTAGATTGAAACAAAAATTTTGCTCTAGCTCACAGTCGCCAATTGTGACTTGTATTCTCCCTGTTTATAGTTACGTAAGTAAGCATAAATATGTCTGTTGATATAATCTTCACTTTTTAATTTATTGTTATGGCTCAAATTGACGTTGTTCTTGTCATTACTGATTAATTTCTTTACTACTTATACAAATATGAGTAGCTTCAAACAGTGCATCAAAACACTACAGTTCAACACATGATGTAATGCATACGAATGTTCTGATTAACACAACTATGATATTAAGATGTCGTGTTCATCTTCAGATTCAAAATGACCTTAGGGAAAATCATCCAGAATATTAAGTGAAGTAGTGCAGCATACATGTCAGAAGTTGCTTCGTCGTGATCTACCGCAAAAGGAGCAGTTTGGCAATTTATCAATCCATATTTATTGCCTGACAAGTTGAAAATCATGGTTCCCTAGGTGAAAGATGGTTTTGGTTATGATCAAGTTACCTTGGTTGAATCTGAAGACGAATGTTAGTCATTACACACGGCCTTAGCTTCCCTCAACAAGCAAAGAACAAATTCTTAGTTGAACGCAGAATGAACTGTATTTTAACATGCGGTGAATTCTGAGTTGAAATGTATATATAACATTCACTAATTTGATTATCATAAAGCTTTCCTTCCAGTTAATTGATTTGTAACGATCACATTTTAGTTCACTTGATAAGATGACATTCAACATTACAAACTGTGATGAAATATTGAGATTATGGAGAGAAGATCTGTTACTCACAAGGTTGATGTTGATGATATTGTATCTTTTGAACTGACTTATTTATTAGTTTCTCCATACAGATGGTCTCGTTCATGTTCTATGTGCTGAGAGCTTGGCTGCTGTATTGGAGTCGAGGCAATTCAACACCACCACAGTGATCAGACATCGTCATTCGTTGTTCATATGTGTTGCTCAGTACAATCAATTAATTTTTACTGAAGGTATTCACATCGCTACTTCGAACGGTGATATTTCCATGCATTTTCCGGTCAAACTATTCCATCACTAAATGTGGGACATCACTACAAATCATTCCAATACTCACGAAGTGACTTTGAGAATTCACCAATCACACCATCTTCAAGTGTTTCCAAGGTAACAGGTCAGAATGTTCAGCATTGTTCACACATAACATTGTCGATTTCACTCATGTCTGTCTTATTTTGGTCTTTGTGAAATATGACAATTATAATGGATCTTTAACTGTGAAGCCTGATGATGTTATCAAGTGTTCGTTTGAATATTCTTTGTGTTTGCATATTCTGTGTGCACGTTTTAACCGTTAGTTTTAAGCATCATAGCCGACCATCAATTCCTCTATTTTATAACGTCAATCTACTCTAATATATAATAAGAATATAAAACACTGATTGCAAATCAATGTACTCGAATGGTGGTTTATGGAGATTGTAGTAATTTAACAGTGGAATCCATGTGCCAATCAAAGCTAGACCACTATGGAGAACCGGGAAGCAATTGACGCTCGTGTTGTCCTAGAATGGGATTCCTCATCATTGGCTCACTGATGACTGGCTTCAAGATGAATTTCATGGAGTTCTACTGAGAAGCCGTAACCAGTGGAAGTCATCTGTGTTTGCTGTGGTGCGTGGTCGAGTTTGTGCATACGTATTACTGCAGGACCGTCATAACTTTATAATTGTCTAAAACGATGAAAAGCACAGATTGACTAATTGTTCTATTATAAATAAACTTTGGAAAAACGGAATATTGTCATACATGTTAGTTGTGTAAAATAGATTTAACGTATTTATCGAATACATTGGTTTATGTTAATATCCTTACAAATAGTCTCAAAAGTGAAATATCTTCCTCACCTCTACTCTTCTTTGCAAATTCACAATCGTTCTATGAAACTCAACGGTGAATCTTCATTTGACATTTGAGAATACAACAATCCATCAATAGAAATAAATTCAACCGGAACGAAGGAAGCTACTTAATTGAGGATCCTTTTAAAAATAACAACTTCAAACAAACAAAGTAAAAAGTCCGGTGGATGGGAAAAACAGTGAGAAGACAGAATAGAAGTAGGAAGGGCGGAGTGGAATAAAACAACAATGATAACGATAACGAAGTTGACAACGATAATGACAGCATCGACGCATACACACACATACTTATTTACATGTGACCAGATTTTAAAGGTTGTTAGTGTTGACTAATTGTAGACAAATATGTCAGTGGGTATAAAAGTGTGAGTGTGAGTATGTTGGAACTAGATGAGTTATGAATAGCAGGTAAATAACTGTTTTATTGAAATGAAAACATTCACATATGATCAGGATCATTGCACTGGATGAACGTGTGCATCATTATGAATACAGTCTGTCGATTAATATTGTTGTTGAGGATCATCCCGAGAGGATTATCTTAATATCACTGGTATGTCAGAAGTATACTATACATTATTCAGTGGATAATGCGTTGGCGTTTGAAATGAACTATATTTGATTTTAATCTCAATGTGCGCAATAACACTGAAAGTCAGAACAACTGACTTAACGAGTCTCGAATCTGATGAAGCAAGCATCCTGGATACTATGATTAGCCATCATCGATGTTTAATAGAACTTCTTGATCAGAAATGGTGAAAAGATACAAGAAAAACAGTTACTTATATGTATAATGAGTTTTTTCATTCACAAATAATAAGGCAGAAGTTTGTGATGGATGTCCTTAGCATTACGATATTGATGATGAAAATATTGAAGGGAAGGGTGAAGTGGGTGAAAGTTTTTTAAGGACAGCGTCTAATGCGCTCATGTTAACGACAGCGTTAGAGATGAACCGGAATGGGACGATGACAATAATAGATTATGACAATGTAGAATATTTTGAGGATAAAAACCAAACGTATGTCAACGTAAATTTATGCTCATAAATGACCAGTTAAATAGTAGCTTTAATACCAACCCAAGAGATTCATTCTATTTGTAATAATTTGAACTGTCGTTTTGTTGAAACTTCATCAGTCTTGTATAGCATGTATCAACTGATGAACAATGTAGCCATTATCGCTTGACGAGAGGATTCAATATTAAAGGTTCCTTGTTACTTTGATTGAAATGATCGAAATGAAATGGATAAACCGGATTTCAGTCACAAGGTTTGCAAAGATAATTTCATTTGTATTCAATAACATTCAATGAATGCGAGAAGGAACCGATAAATTTGGACTTTGTTTTCAAGAGAATCTTATATAATTCTTATTCATTCTATTACAGATGTATATGATTTTATGATCAAAGACTATTCGTTTTGAACATGAAGTTGAATATAGTTGTCCAGCTAGGCTGGTGAAAAGCGTCCTATCATGAACCATATTATTTATATCAGATCGAAATTCTATCAAAAATCAATGAAATGTTATGTACTCAATAATCTTGTTTTACCGATATATGATTCAATTAATTTACATATCACTTTGATTAAAGGTAACACCGAATACTTAAATGTTATTAGTAAATTAACAGTAAAATAATGAGCGGATCATGTTATATCTATAGCTAGTTATTTTTGAATGTTTGCCTTAAATTTATTCGTTCATCGGTAAGTGAAGGCTGATACAAGATACTTTGGTGATATCTGTAAATCAGACTGTAAACTTAGTTAAACGTGGTTTGGATGGCAGATTGATCTCTTCATATGTGAATAGAATATCAAGCTTGATAATCAAATGTTAGATAATCACGTGAGTTCATGCAAAGAAACTCGACAACAACTTCACATCAAACTAGAGTGTACTAATATATGCAGTCAACCAGATTGGAGACTAGTTGAAAAATCAGACATGATGTCATGTCCCACCTTGAACGGTGTTGGTTGATAAGTCATACTGTTGCTACAATGTGGAACATCGGTACGTAAATGTTTATATGCGTCAAACGCATTGAGTGGAAAACACAAAACTAGTCAGCAATCAAACAAGTTCAAAATATATCCTAACTGACCTGCTCTTTTAAGTAAAACTTGTATTTAATCATTTTGTTTCCTACAATCATTTATCATTGTGCTAGATCTGTCATTGTCTTGTATTTACGAAAAGCCCATGTCGAAGCTGGTATCAGATTTACTCAAAAAATGAATTATGTAGGTTTGCGTCTGGTTTGACGGTATATTATTGTTGAATGAGTGTGTTATATCCGCGCGAAGATTAAATCACGAGTAACTTCTGTGACGTATTAATTGACGTATTACATAAGCAATAAGAATCGACGGTGAGTTTTGAGTTAATATTGTTATTAGCAGTAAAAAATGGCTATTTCTTTAGAACAGTTGCAGTTAATATTACAACAGCATTAGCAACAGCACCAGCAGATTTTAGCAGAGTGTGAATGAAATCACGTATGGGGGAATTCGGAAGTGAAAATAATAGCTTGATAAGGCACGGGAAACGTGTACGTTTAGTGATAAGAGGCATCGATGACATGAGATGCTCCTACTGAAGCAACGTATATTCTAATGCTCAGTTGTATTTCAAGTCTGTTGAAAATAAGCTATATGGGATCACGAGTAATTGGACAGTTGTTAATTCCATCACATTATCAGACGAAATCTCACCTACTTCATCGCAACTAGAAACGGATAGAGTGGAGTTATTTATGGAATAGAAATTTTCACTAGATAACTGTTGATCAACAAAAGTAGTTTACCTTAATTCATCAAACGATCAGGATCAGAGATACAGAACGGTATTTATAAGTGGAGTAGTAACAATATGATAAATTGACTGAAGTTAGATTAGTAAATCAACTGATGCTTCGTACAAAATATCTGCAGATCTTGGTGTGCACTGTTGAGGTTTATTACTCTTGAACAGATGAGATTTCATCATAAACTGGAACGATATTTATGTTCAGCAATCTCTATGTTTGTTTTGATATCAGCTCTGAACGAAACTGTTTTTCAAATTAATTGAATTTACTGATAGCACATATTTCCAAAAACAATTTATGCAACCAGTCAACTCCTACCGAAGTAACGTTACATTCTGCAGTAATTACGTGACTTTCGTTACCGTCATTCTAAATACAGGTAGCGGTAACGATACAAAGGTATCATTCATTATTGTGTACATTCAATCAATTCCAGATCGATCACAACATAAATTGACGACAATTCTTGAGGAGAGGATGATTGATGTCCGACAGTGGTCATATTGACATTCCAAATAATGAAAATTGACTACTACTCTTATAGGACAATGATCTTTGCAAACATTTATCCTACTTGTAGTTTAAAAGGCATGCATTAAACATTAGCCATTACCCTGAGTTTTGATTCATATCAGGAATCGATCATTGTTGGACTACCATCAAAATCTGGAAGCACTGGGTAGCCGTTCCGTCCAAGTATGAGACTCACCAGCACTGTGCATCCATGATCGCGCATTCGTGACTCGAACTCATGTTCTTCGATAGTACGATCAAATCGGAGAGATGACACTGAAACAACAGTTTGCATAATCATTATGTGGATAAAACAAACTGTTTGTAGATAGAGAATTGTTTGTATCTTAATATTCTAATGTAGATGGACCACATACTGAAACAACAACGATAGTGTTGAAGCCTTTAAGAATAGGCGTAGCACACAAAACAACAATATCACTACAACAAATACTATGCACATCAAAAGATGAAATGGCAAACGAATAATAATCAAGTATCATCTACAAAATAGATTGTGTCAATTGTGAAAATCACTACACTGGACAATTTCGGGTGCCCTCTTCATCTTCGCTTGTATGAACATCAATTATTGGTCAAAAGTCATCGCATATCTCACTTCTCGTCGTTGATTTCTCCCATGTGGTGAGATGTGTCACTCATGCTTAAGTCAAAGGAGATTAATTAAACTGCAGTTGTACTTTTAATCATAACTTCAACCTATACGTTGTACAGAATATATATATGGCAAGCCGTCTTTTGACATTTCACAAGATTAATAGTGAGAAATTTAAAAGTGCACAAATGAGAAATGTCTGGCTATTGATTATTTCACAACGATACATAATTTCAGTCTTTAGGTATAAGGAGTAGTATGACCTGATTATCATGGAGTCTGTAACCAAATTCACTTACTAATCTTTTTTTGTTTCAAACGAATTATTGTCTGATGTAACTGTTGTTTTTGTCAAGATGCGTAGTGCTAATCAAGATAGACATCTTAAGCAATGTAGAGGAGTATGAGGTTTATGGAAGAGAAGATCTAGAAGACTTGACTGTGTATTGTCAGTTGTTATGTGAAGCCCATATACTTTGTTTTAACTTTCGGACAGCCCAATCTATTCATTCTACTCGAGTCATATTTTCACCCTGGTAATTATTCGCTTATCAGTCTTGACTGTTTTTATGTGAGCGTATATGTGTGTACACTTCATATCCCATGTCTCATCACATGTCTGTAGTTTATTTTGACTGCCCATAAATATCGCGTAACGCCTGGCTTAAAATGAGTTGGCTTACCAGCTATCTCCACTCTGCATCGTTTCTCTTCTGTCTACTCTAGATGACTTGACCGTTTGTATTTTGACTTTATGGACAGACAAGATCAGGCATCCTAAGAAAATCAGGGATATTTGCATAGCATTGCTGACGTCCGAAATACCAGAATGATACAGTTGTGCACTCCTCAAGGTAATTTGAGTACATAATCACAATGAAATAGATAACGTCACCGCACATAATAGGTAAAAGTGCTATCTCATTATTTACACACTACTCATTACGTAATGATTTCAATATTTTGTGATAATTATTCAATGTCTATTGATAAGACTATTATTATCGTAATTCATTATTCTTACTACTATCCATACACCTGTCTTCCAATTATCAAATTGTACTTTTACCTATTATGTGCAGTGACTTATTCTATTTCATTGTGATTATCGACTCAAATTACCATGATTGGTTTCACATTTTCGTATAAATATTCATGTATATTAGAGTAAAGCCTGATGACGATCTAATTGAAAACGATATTGTTCGCTTAAATGTTTTATTCTAATTTTCACAATGGGAATCTTGAATATTGAAGAAAAGTAATACATTTTCCTGAAGTGTCATCTTTTTGTTGACATTTTGCCACAACGTTGCTTTCTATCCGTACTTTAGATCTCCTAGATATAAAATGAATCATAATTATCCCATTCCACTGAAGCCAACTTTTCTTTGTTACACGCATTTACTCTGCTTATGTTCTTTACTTTTCAATCTTCCGTTTATGTATTCGAACAGGATCAAACTCGTCTGAAGGAGAACAGAGACATCTTAACCAACATTCATTTATTCATGATGTTTCTCTTAATAAGCATTTCTTAGGACTAGTTACATTTAATGAATATGTTTCACTGAATATTGAAAATAGAAAAATTGCTTTCCTTGTATTTGTTCTCGAATTCGCTTAGCGTAATTGTGGCTTAGTGAAGTGTTCTGAACCATGTCAGACTGTAGTCAATATTTCGTATTGCATTTCTGAAATTCATACACCTCAGAAAGTCATTTAATAACAGTCATTCAGACCATTGACATAAGAAACCTTAAGATTTATCTCGAATATTTTGAACGACAGAATTGATGAGGCATAGATGAGAATGTAACGCCGATCTCCACGGTACTATTTAAATTCGAAAATCAACGTACTACCTTTCTATTTCGATTGTTCTAATGGATTATGATTATTTTTGTTGTGGATTGATATTATCGCCATTCTCATTACACGTTCTTCATCCTGTACACATTTTTTGATTAAAATTTAACATTACTAACCACAATAATAAGCCATGATATTTAACGTACAATCGATATTGTGGTGCGAATTGAGTAAGTCTGTTCTATTTTATAAAACTACAGCACATTTTTATTGTTGTGATTTCTCTCTGCCTACTATTCTCCTTCCCCTACACATCGATTTATTCATTTTTATATACATGTCTTATGAAAATTCAAACAATGCGTAGTTGCATTACTTGACGGTAAAAGACAGGATCGATACAATGAGGAAGATGATAAGCTTTTTTATTCCACAATTAGACAGAGTTGACGCAGAATGACATATCGAAAAGATGATCGGGGAATAGATCACGCATCATGTATCGATCGTTCTTGAGGATACGCTTAGCTCCCTCAATATGCTTGTGCTTTCGAACTTGTAGTAAAATGAATAGAAATTTTAAATGCTCTTGTGGATTTATTATATATATATGGAGAATCGATCCCTCTGCTTTTTGGCGATCACTGTTTCAGTTGCCGTGATTCGTGAGGACAGTCAGTTATTTTTCATCTAGGATCAAACGACATTCTCACAAATCTTTATCGATAAAAGAAAGAAATTAGCGTCCAGCCTCTAGTAAGTGAAGAGAGTTGTAGTATTGGAGACCTTGGTTTCACTTGCTGATTCCAAACGAAATGAATGAGCAAACAGCTAAAATACAATGTGATACATATATGTCTGATATCTGTGTTCGGCCAGCTTCGACGTTATCATACAATAATGCAGATCTCTGATACACAGTTGAAAAACATACGACCCAAGAATTTTATAAATAACACAACAGTGATTGTTTTCACTTGATTTTCCTTAAGGGAAGTAGTAATCTCCTATAACATGAGAATTCCAATCATTTTGTCAGTCACATGAACAGATTATCAGGAAACGAAATATTTTATTCTAACTAAGGTTTATATTACACCCACTAAACAGAATAGAGTATAGACAATGCCATATTATCTGATTATGAGATGGAATGAGGTGATAGTTGACAACAAAGTATGATCACTACTGTTTCTATAAACAACTGATTTCAACAGAAATATGTTTATT